TGTGAGATAAGAAAGCAGCACTAGCACTTGTCCAATGCTAAGCAGTGAAAATGAAAGAAAATGTCTATACAAGAAATTATAAGTTTTTATCCGATTGAATTGTAGCCAACAATGTGTCAATTAGATAAACGTTCAAACACAATACCTTTAATCTCATTAAACGTAATCATTCAAAAAATTTTAACGTAATAAACACGTCATAATTGACCCGCACTTTATCAAGACTTTCTATATTCTTATACCATGATGAATTATCATATGACTCAAATTATTGATGGACTGATTGGAGCACTAAGTTTCTTGGATCATAAACAGTGGCTCCAACACTCCCAATAACAATTATGGAAAATTGACCTGGACACAGAGCCTCATTTACCAAAATTATAAGTTGTATTAAAAAAAAAAAATGTGAATTCTGACCTTTTATATTTCTGTGAATCCACAAGAACAAAATTATTTAGTAATTAGGAAAATTGAGTTATTTTTTTCTATAAAAGAAATTATTTAGATATCTTGTGATCTCACAATAATAACAACAACAATAATAATTCATACAATATAAATATTTCTTGTTTCGGTACTATCGTTATCCGTTCAACACATCCTCTAAGATGTTGGCAATAAATTTTGTATATTGAACCCAAAAGACAAAATTCATGAAAAAGAGTATAATAATTTTTTTTATACAATTCAATTCAATAGCCAAAAGAATTAAGCTTGTAGAAACCAAAATAAACAATAAAACTAAAAATCCATACAAATATAACAGAACATATTTCTCGATTGAATTTAAATGGTTTATTCTCAATACCTAGTTGATGACTTGATGGAACACCCTTGATAATAAACCCTAACCTGAACGGGAAGGATGGTTGCACAATCAGGTATTAACATCTTCGTATGCACATATTTGTATTTAAGGTATAAGATGTGAATATTATATTGATTGTGTATTATTATTATTATTATTTTTTTTACCTCTAGTAATTTGACTGTTAGAATTCTTAGTTCTATATATGGAATATCGTCCACCTTAAAATAGTTACGCGTAGCTAAGTTGAAAACAATAGAGTAGCACAGTGAAAATATTATAATTATTTTCTAGAGAAAAATAATATGGGTCAACGTACTTTAGTTGGATCCTCTGAACATTTCCAACGGCATTCCTCAACCTCGCATATCTCTATAACATAAAGAAAATACACGCGAACAAGTTTGTTGAGTAAATATGATGATGCATTACAAGAATGTCGAATCATTCTTAAGACTAGATTCCCCATTATATGTACCGCAAGAATTCAATAATAAATGTACTATCACCTATATCTGTGGTTTGTCATAGATTCACCTCATAATCCCATAGTGTATTCTTCATCCCATCCTATTCAGCAAACTCCTCCAGCACATAAATCATAATTTAGGCTCGTCCTACACATATAGGAAATCAGTTATGCTAGATCATAGCCCCATGTCATCGTGGGAAACTACCTACGTACTCAATGATGGACATCCAAAACCCAATTCTCTGCTAACCTAATGACTATTGGAAGTCTCAACTAGGTATGTCTATCCTAATATCAATGACACATTTTAACCATAAAGTAATTACACTCACCATTCACATAAAAAAGGTTTAGCCCTAACCTTAAGGGTCCATTATGAATGAAGTATGAATTCGAACACATCTTCATCAACAATTATTCACGATGACTATTACAAATACACCCAAGCTCAGTCAACTCGAATGGTTTATAAATGAGGCCACTTGGCTTTATTCAGCTATACCTCCTTAGAATGAATGGTGAAGATAAATTTTCCTACACTTTTTACTTGGAACAATACAGGGTACAATGCATTACAAAATGTCTTTTGCTATCTCAGGACACATTTATAAAATTTTGTTTAGCTATTTATAATTACAAATTTGTAAATTTCTATTCCCCCCCCCCCAGCAAAATATGTATTTTTATTTTTTTTTTGTTACAGTGAACTAAAATACACTATGCAAATGTAAATTTGCAAAGTATTCCATGTAAGATGTATTTTGTAAATTTCCCTAAAATAAATTAATCACAAAATTTCCAATGAACTATAAACATCATCTGATAGCATTTTGGATAGTAAATGATGAGATGGTAAAATCATGTAAAATATGCTCTCTACGCGAATGCTAGGTGCATTAGTATATTTAAAGCCTGTTTGAGAGTGATTTTCCCCTCCAAAAATTGATTTTTTGACCGTTATTTTACTAATTTGAACCTCACTTTTCTTCTAACAATTATCAAAATCACTCTCAAACAGGCTCTTAAACAACGGCTAATATAATATCTGCCTATCATAAAAATCTAAAACAATATCTCATTATTTGATAAGTTTTTTTTAATGATAATTGTCTTTGATTCACTCGGCAAGTCAATGATTTGGTCAATAATTGCTTATTTAGAAGTCTAATCCAACAACATGCTTAAAAGTGAAATATAAGGAAAATATATGTGCTATATTTAAAAGTTATATTATGTTATACAAGTAAGAAAATCAATTTCATTAAGTGAAGAAGCACAAGAATTAAAAGCAAATAACTTTCAAGTACTGTCTTTTTTTAGTTTAAGTCAAATCAAACCACTTTTGTTCTTTCCAGTAATTTAAATTATCTTATATATGGAGGAAATTGGAAAAAGATTAATACTATTTGTAGCCACTTATTATCACAATCGCCCTACTGATATATATGTGATGATTAGTATTTGATATATAAGACAATAAAAATTGGTAATTAATACACTAAATCACAAATTGTCATATAAAATGCTGCGTATGGCGACTACTGCAGTGAGCAACTATGAATATCGTTACTTTTGCAAAAAATGCCTACTTTTAAATGGTCGTATACAAAAAAGTTCAAAATTTGTTCAATGTCCATTTTATTATGATTTAGACCAAAATGCCTCATTAACAATTTTAAATTCCACAATGAAGAAAAAATTATTCATATAATTAAAAATTATATTGATGTGTGCAATATTTTATTATATGAATGTATGGTTGAAAATGAATTAAAGCAAAGGAAATCAAACAAGGGTTTAATAGATAATGAAAGCGAATAAATCCATTAGATAGTGGTTAGAATTAACTAGCTTTCATGAAAGCTACGTGTTCTTCTTGAAATTCGTGACAATTTTTTTTAAAAAAAATCTTTATTTTTCATTAAGGGTATAATAGACAATTTCGTACCAAATTTGACAGTTTTTGCAAGTTATCAAAATTCGACAATTGTCAATTGACAAACGTGTAATTAGACAATCTGTAAATTTCTCTTATATTTACCTAGTCTTTCATTTCTTTCTTGAATTGTTCTTTTTTTCTTTTGAAAGCTAAAATCCACCAGCTAGAGGTGCAAAAGAATAACATTATCTTTTAAAAAAATTGCTTTGAATTAGTTAAATATTATATTCAAATTTGGAGAAAAAAATTTTGATTAAAAATGTCATCTAAATAATGTCACAAATTAAAAACTTCTCATTTAATTTCATTTTAAGAGTTTAATCCCAACGAATATGTTGATTTACTAGATGAATTTCGTTATACATTACATTCTCGTTCGCTCGTTAAAGGCTTCATTGGTGAAAAGTGCTTTCTATCACAATCGAAGAGCATTTAAAGAATGATTTTTTTTTTTACTCCAAATCTCTTGCGTTTTTCTAGGCATGGCCAATTTGAGTCATATTATTTTTCAAGAATGCATTTTGAAATAGTAAATTAATAGAGAATGTGTGGTATAAAAATAAGAAAAATTTTTAGGTTTGCATATAATATTATTTTATTGAAAAATGTGTTATTGAAAATGAGAGAGTGAAAAATTTATTTTAAAAAAAATGGGGCTCGACATAATAGTCCTTAACTTTATTACATATGACGTGTGTATGTTGTAAAATCTTTACAATTAGTTGCATGTAAGCTGTCCTGTCTACACGCTCCTTTCTTATTTGACGTATCATCGGACTCTTTTGTTTTTTCATTTTAAAAAGTATTTTTATATTTGGTTTCGATAATCTTATGATTAGCTCTTGATCGAGCTTCATTTTGAGTTAAAAAAAAAAAAAGAGTTTTCAAAAATTATTTTTTTGGAGAATGTTTGATTAAAAAATGATGAGAATTTTTGAATTTACGTATAATATTATTTTATTAGAAAATGTGTTATTAAAAATAAGAGAGAGAGAGAGAGAGAGAGAGAGAAATGTATTTTATAATTAATGGAGCCCAAACAGGAGTTTAGTGTTCTATCCTACATTTCTTTCCTAGTATTTATCATTATCTAGTATCCAATACCTTTATTAGCTAAATAATTACTTAGCCCCCTTTTGGTAGTGCTTTTTTATCCCAAAATATTGATTTTTTAACGTTATTTCACTATTTCAGTTGTTATTTTTGACTTCTTCACTTATAGTTGGCCCCCACTTTTCTCCTTAACGATCAAAAAATACATTCTCATAATCATTACCAAATAGCCCCTTAATAAAGTACTTTATATACCAATAATAAAAAGTTACACAAACTAGCTAGCAATTTAGGCTTCTTCCCTTTGTACCACATGTAGAAATAATTAACCTTGAACAAGAAGTACAAAAGCCCATATAAGTAACCAAGTCGAGTTATCTAAATATTTACGAGCAATAGAACTATCATGATTTAGTACATACGGTAAAAATTAAACAAGACATGATTAAAAAAGAGAAACACGTCGACATATCGCTCTTGTCCAGTTCGAACCATATGTGTAGACATCTTTCACTTACTAAATGACATTAATGCGTATACGACATCGTGTGAGGTTAAAATGCTACATAGAGTTAACACACTCTCTAAATTAGGGGTTAATTATATCTCACTCAATTCCCTAAACATTCCAAAGCAGTGATATCTCGCCCCCCTCGTCCGCTACGTACACACAAACCAGTATAGTTAGAAAACAACAGATGATTCCTACCCATTCATTTCCTCAATCATAACTCTCTCTCTCTCTCTGTAAAATCCATAATCAAAATTTCCATGAAAACATCCATTTTTTACAATACCACTAGTTAATTACTTCACATTTATTCCCCAACACCGACCAGATCAGTCCTATCTTCTCATCTTTGAGTTTTGCACATTCTCTCTCTCTCTCTCTCTCTCTCTACTCTATAAGCACAACTTGTGTTGTATGTATCATTCTTTCTTTCTCTTTTATTAGCCTTTTTCTCGTTATTGCTTGTCTTATTTTCTTGTGCTTCATCTTTTTCAGTTAAAAACTTTGTCACCGATCTCTCTCCACGAGGATCCGGCGAAAATGTCACTGGACATGACCGGCTCCGAACGTGTTTGTTACGTTCACTGCAACTTCTGCAACACAATTCTAGCGGTATAATACTTTAATTCTTTCATTAACTCCTTAATTCTTCAAATCCCAAGATCCTTAAAGTACGGGATTTTATCAATTTTTGTGCTTAGTTTTAGAGGTGGTGATCCATGGTATCTATCAAACATTTAAGGAAATTGTTTATTTTGTTTACTTCTAGTTTTTAGATTTTTTTTTCCCCAAAAGTTTTGCAGTAGCAAGTGGAAAAAAAGATAACTTTTTTAAGTGGAATGCAGGTGGTGAATTATTGGATTTTTTACTACTTTCAAACTAAATACTATGATATTTGTATGCTAATTTTTCGATGAATTTATGGTGAAAATATTTAGATATGAAAGTAAGGGTTCCATTTGGGCTTGCTCGAAAGGAAATAAGAGTATTTTCCGGAAATACTCGCTACTAGTTTCTTCATTATTTTTGTTATCTCATTTATTTTGATTTTATTTTTCATAAATCTCACATAAACTTGGTAAGCAGAAAGAAAGAAGGTAAAATTTTGCAACTCCAAAGAACTTTCATGTGAATCAAGAGCTTGAAATCTGAAACCCCAGAAAGAAAAATCAAGATTCGGTGTGCTTAGAAGGCTGAAGAACCCTAAAAAATAGCATGAATCTTAGTCTGCCTAATCTTGAAGGCAGCCGTGAGGTCCGTGCCTATGATTCTTAGGGTTCTACTGATTTCAACAGTAAATATAAGTTTCATTACTTGTCCAAGATTTGATAATTGAATTTCTGATGCATAAATTTGATGGATAAATTTAAGTTTCTCTGCAATTCGCTACTCAATAATAATTGTACTAGCTGAGTTTTGATGCCTGTTACGCATCCCATTGTTTGTTTTTATGTGTTATTAGTTTTCATAAAACAATAGCACTATTTCACACTGTAAAATGTAATTGAAGTCTCTCTCTCTCTCTCTCGCTCTCTTTCTCGCGTGCGAAAAATACAAAGTGAGTGTGTCAGATCAGAGAAGGAAAGAGAGATTACAATGGTCTTCACACAAGATAACTTCTTATTTTTGCCCATGTGAGGCCCTGTGATGGTTGCGGTGAAATTGGCCTTATTGTGAAAGCTACACTAACGAACTTCATTCCAATAAATATGCAAAATCAAGAAAGAGAACAAATAAATATTTACAAGATAGGTAACTTTTCTCTTCTTCTTCCTTGAGACAATCCTATCTCAAATATTTCTTGTAGTCTAATCCCAGATTCTCGCATTTTCGGTCGCCTTCAAGTTTAACAATCAACTCTTGACTCTACAAGAAAGAAAGGATTAACTGTTAGGGTTTGTAGGAAAATTCAAACAATTTTCAGAGGAATCTTTCTTCATTTTCTCTCTCTTACACGCACAGACGGGTTGGAGGTTTAAAAATATGATTTGTGCATGGTTGAGTTGGATTAAGTATTGATTACATCATTTTTTCCATTGAAATTAATGCATGTGATGAGAGCAGGTTAGCGTTCCTTGCAACAGCATGCCGACCATTGTCACAGTCAGATGTGGCCATTGCTCCAATTTGCTGTCTGTTAATGTGGGAGCTTTGCTTCAGTCTGTTCACATTCAAGATTTCCAGGTATACACAGACACACACAAGTTCGCGCCAGTTGACCACTTCAGATTCTTCTGCCTTTGATGTAAATAAATTAAACGAACCATATTTATATAATACAATAATTAATTCATTAGTCTCAGTATCCCACGTTCCTGCAGATTGTATACACTATTTAGTGTTTCGTCTAATACGGTAGTATTGACGAAAAAAAAAAGGAACTAAAATCTTTTATCATGTATAGTCCATAGCAGAGATTCCAATCTCGTGCTATGTGTACTAACCCCAATTTTTACTTTGGGTTCAATCTTTAAAGGGATTTCTTTTCCAGTCTTATTCAATTTTTTTTTTTTTTTAAACAAACTTACACCAATCAAATTATGGTTTTTTGTTGTTTGCTGCAATAGTTTTTACTTTTCCTCTCTAAATTGATTGTTTAGGCAGCACTTTAATTTCTACGACACATATATATGTATGTAAAATGCTCGATGTCATCTTATTTGCTAAGTATCCTAGCCGATCTATAGGTATATTTAACTAATGCTCGTCTTTTTTGCACAATTGAAGCACCAGAAACAACAATCTACCGCTGAATTAGCTGCCACTAAAGAATGTGGTTCATCATCAAGATGCAGCAAATTAACACCATTTGAGCCTGAATATGAACAACCTAGAATGACTCCGATACGTCGTAAGCCCTTTTTCTCTCTTACCTACAAATACATGTACGCACACATCGTGTTCATAAAGTTTAGGCATCTCTACAAGGGATTTTGTCCTTGCCTTCTATATTTTTCAAATGTATTACCATACCTTAATCCTTGGAAACGGTTTTTCTCACTTTTGCTATATAGTGTTCGATTATATTTCAAAGTGGTGGCGCCAATAGCTTATCATTAAGCCCACATGTCATCAAGTGATTTTGATGAATTCTAATGAAAAAGTAATAAAAAGGGCACCTGACTTTTTTGCTTCATTCATTACACGTCATACGATTGTGACATTACGTTACTGTCCAACTCATATTGTAACATTGGTATCCTCAAACATATGCCTAGTACGCTTATGTTTTAGGCTACGCCTTTTTCTTGTAAGCCATAGCCCTCCATAAATGGTAGGTTATCAACATATCATTAATCAGAGTAGAGCATTGTTTGCTCTAATTTGAATAGCAAGATAGAAACTAGAGAAAATGATTATTGGATTATAAGGAAAGGAATATTACTAGCTAAGTATTAAAAAACGTCATCTACAAGCCTTCTCATGTACAAGCCGTGTGTTCAATTGTCTCGTCGAAAGTTCGTGTGCCTAAATTTATGGTCCGGGACTTAAATTTGTGACCGTTCTCTAATATATTTTTCGTATTTTGAACTTGTGCTTAATTAGATTTCTTACACACGCACAAATTAATTCATACTATATGGTTATATTTCATTGGTATGAATATGGATCCCAACTCTCTTTCTTGATCACAGCAATCACATGTACCATATATATGTTCTATTTGATCATTCAGTAAGGGTTCAAATTGTCATGATTTTACAGCTCCAGAAAAAAGACAACGCGTTCCTTCAGCATATAATCGATTTATAAAGTAAGTCGAACTTTTTGTTCATATTTCAGTTTCAGCAATACGTCAACTCTATATTGATTGTATAGCCAAAGCATCGTTGAACATCATGCATCCATAATCAAAGAAGTCAATCTCCACAACCATGATATTATCTGAAATCCTAACTGTAATTCTAAGATCTTTTTGACATGACCAGTCCTAGTCCTGAATCACCCTAATGGATCCGACACGTGTCGTGCGTCGATGAGGGATACCAGCTAAATGTCGGACCCACCACCAAGGCAACTATGATTTGCAAATCATATAAAAATTAAAATTAAAATTTTAGTTTTTAATTTTATACTTTTAGATGCACATATTCCTCCAGGGGGACGATTGGGACGAGGACATGAGGGTCATTATGACACAATCAATAATTCGCTATTTATAGTAAGAAATTTCAATTCTTTTCCAAGTGAAAGCCTTTTCCCTTATGGCATAGTAATACATCTATAAAGTACTTTCTTTCCATACCAAGTAGTTAAATTTTGGAGTGCTAATGTTCATGAATCATCTCAAATCTTATAATTATTTGTAACGACAAATACATATTTAGTTAATTAACCAATAATTCAAGTTGTCTTCTAACCATGAGGACACGTGGTCTAAAGGTTGTCAATATTTATAAAAATAAAGTCTTGTTTGTTAACAAGAGTTTGATGCGCACTTACAGGGAGGAGATTCAGAGGATAAAGGCTAGCAATCCAGAGATTAGCCACCGGGAAGCTTTTAGCACTGCTGCAAAAAATGTAAGTCAGATAATATATTGTATTAACAATAATATAAGATCACACAATGCTTAATATGTTATGATCATATTGATAAATTGGATTAAAAATAGAAAGAAAGTAAAAAAATAAAAATAAAAATAATAAAATAAAACTGAAATAATTTATCTTAAGAAAAGACAGAACTATGTCAGATTAGTTTCCTGTAGAACCTGCTCAAATGAATAAGACTATTTGTCTTCCACTTCATCTTTCTTGTAATGCTTAATGCAGCACAGCTACTAATTTATCACTTGCTATTCAGATGGTCACAAATTAACTTGGAAATTAATCATAATAATAGTATCATATGTAAAAATGGTATCATTTCAGACTGTTGTGCTTGAATTATCAAATCTTATTAATTAGAGCCAACTGAAGTAAGTGAATTAAATCTTATTATCTCCAAAACAAGATGATGATGTAGGATTGTGATATGACATTTAAATTTATATATATTTCTTCTTATTTATTCAATGCAGCTGTATATTAGCAACAGTATTGCTGTGCATCTTGTCCAAAGTATATTTTGGTTGGCCTAGATTTTACTATTTCAAGGATAAACAGAAAAATGACAAGTAATAAAACAAAAATAAATAAATTATTAAATTAAGCTAATAACGTTGTATTCTGTCAATCAACAACACGAGAATGATTGGAAGAGAAAATAGAAGAGGTTGCAGCAGCTACACTGATCGAGATTTTTATTTTTCATTTTTCAGTGGGCACATTTTCCTCACATTCATTTTGGGCTGAATCTGGATGGCAATAAACAAGCAAAGATGGGTCATGCAGTTGGAGGAGAAGGGACACAGCAATCCGTTGGCTTTTATTGAAATTTCTGTTAGTAATCAAGGACAAAGTTTCTTTTTTCTCTCACAGAAGTTTCAAGAATTGTGGCACTTTAGTCCCTTTTATCTTGAATTTGAAGATTTACATATAAAATATTAGAGTATATATAGTTCAAATCACTGACTTAAATAGGAGGGACTGATTGCCACATTTCTTGAACTTTAGGCGTGCAAAGATGCACTTTTGTCCTGAAAATAAAGGTTGTTTATTTGTCTGTGTTAGATATTTTTCATTATTTTGCATGTGTTTAATTTTTTTTGTTTTGTGAATGATTTGCCGCCTGGATTAGTGTTTGTCGCTGCGCAACGGGATTCGACCTGCCCGGTCAGGTCGCGGGGGTCGAGGGGGCAGCGCCCCC